CTGACCCTGGGGCCATGAATTTCACAATTATGGTAGAGGACTCAATGCTTATTACAATGATGCCAACAGTTTGACTGCTTGATGTCCAGGAGTAAAGAAGAAGATTTTTAAAGATTGCATTATTTTTGGTGGTTTTAGCCCCATCCCTCAGGCCCCAGGGGGCAGGGACCATGAAATTCACAATTTTTGTTCCCCTTTACCCATACAGGCTATTTGCCAAATTTGGTTGAAATTGGTTAAGCGGTTTTAGAGAAGAAGCTAAAAATGTTCAAATGTTAACACACGACGCACGCCGACGGACGAGAACGGATAGCAGTAAGTCACCTGAGTGACATCAGGTGACCTAATAACACCTTTGGGGACTTTAAAGAGGTTTTTGGTTGTTTATCTGACTAGTCCTTGTCTTACCAAAAGGTTGTTCGCGCACATTCCTCTTCATGCTGTACACCACTTCGTCTTTGTACGATTTAAATTTCTATCAATCTCATAATAACTGCTTGTTTTCTGCCTATTTGAAATGAGACTAAGTTTTTAAGAAAGTAAAACCCAAGGTTTCTGAATCCTTTTAGGCTTTTACCGTCAATTGGAACGTGCTGGGAAAATCTGTTTGAAAACACATACAAGTCAACACTCTTTCACGTGTTTTCTGTAAACAGTCTCACGTTATGCATGCAGTCCTCTTTCTTATCTTTAATAGGTACATGTATATATTAAAAAAAAGTTATATCATTTTAAAATGTTCACAATATGAGTGAAAAATTTTCGAAGGGACGTTAAACAAGCAAACAAATAAAAAAATATGTTCACAACATCAATATATTTCACTTGATAAGTATTCAGTTTAAGGGCCATTTGATGCAGCAGAAATACGTAACAGCACAAAAAAAAAGAATCACTGATATTAGAATTAGTAAACATCACTCAAAAATGAATCAGCATAAGTAAAACGTTAGTAGCATTGCCCTTATTTAATTCGAACTCCTAATTGGGTCAGTGATTTTAAAGATACATTTATAATTACATAGCAAAGATATGAATCGAAAGTATATCGATTCACTCTCAAAACAAATTTTATATATATATATATATATATATATATATATATATATATATATATATATATATATATATATATATATATATATATATATATATATATATATATATATATATATATATATCAGAAATTCAGCTACATTACCATTCTGCAGTTGAAGATATATCTACTTCCTCTTGTACATGCATTTCTAACAAAATGCTTCTTCCAAACCACTATGATATAAATCAGCATATCATCAGTAATACTAGCGTGTATTGCATCCAGTCAACAAGCATTTAAATCAACATGTTAATTATAAAGAAAGATTATCATTAATGCTTTAACAGGAAAATGTCCTTGTATTTACTCTACAGAAGAAAAAAACTCTTGATTTTATTTATTGATCATTTTGAATGATCCTTTCCAGAACTGAAACCTTTGAATGACTGAAAATGGATTGTTTTTGGAATACCCCAATAGTTCCCAACGCCTAAATAATAATTTCATGAAGAATTCCATTAGTAATGGCATAAAATCATGGAAAATTTAAAGGTCTTCTATACGTGAAGGCGTGAAACGGGTGTTATAACGTTTGTTTCTTTTAGTAGATTCTGAATTAGTCCCTGGAGAGGAGTCAAGAAAGCAAGGTAATTATTTTTTAAATTATGTGTTCTCGTAAAGTGCACTGGGCAAAGAAGTACATTGATTTTACTTCAATGCATAATATGACTTTAAAGTAGGGATGTCAATTTTGTCAATAATTCATATTCGAATATTCAATGAAAGTATTCGAATATAGTCGAATATTCGATAAAATAAATAAAATCTGTTTTATTTTAAATATGCATCACCCTACTTTCATGAAAGGTTTAAGCATAGGTGTACTTATATTGGAAGTAAAATTGTATGAAAACGTTTGTAGGTGTACAATAAGAAATTCCATTTGATATAAAATTTTTGTCAATGCTTGAAATTAATGATTGATTTAAATGTAGAAAAGAGTCATTTTAACAAATGAAACCTGCGTATTTATAGTAGCTTCAACTGAGGAACCAGTCGTTTTACCAAAGGCAAGATAGTCGTAACGGTATACTGTTTAGAATTCAATACTTATAATAAATTACAATAATCTGCCTAATAAGAGATATCATAATAATCTTTGATACAATGTTTTTAAAATATGAACGAACATTTCCATAGACAATTTTCATAGATAATTAACTAATTTCCCGATAATGAATAAAAAAATTCCGAGATAATCAAGTAATTTACACATTTATTCTGAAATTGATCCCTTTACATTAATTACAGACTAATTCTATCGGACATTCAATCAATGATCATTTAAATTTATTTTGATAAGTATACTCTTCACGTCTTTTTGACATTCTAAGAAAGATTTCCTTTTGTTGTTCTCGATTCTAGTCTATCCGATCGTATCTAACTAATAAAACTACGAAAGTAATTTATAATACATAAAGCATTATTGTATAATTCTTTAACACCTTACTCAAAACAAAATAATTTAGTGAATCTATAAGATAAGAAAGTGGTGAAAGAAATCAGGCGAAATCGAATTGATCGCAAGTAAATTAAACAGGGATAATTCCAGCACTTTTCTAATCAAAATTTATTATTCACATCACTTCTTTTTATGAAATCTAAAAAAAAAAAAACGAATATTCGAATATTAAATTCGTATTCGAATATCTACTCATCGAATGAATATTCGAATGTTCGAATATTCGTTGCCATCCCTACTTTAAAGATCGATGAAATAACAAAGGATAAGAATTTGTACTTGTTTCTAAATATACTGATGTTGAGTACACTTGGATACACCATTATTGCAGTCCATACTCCAAGGAAAAATACATAATGTATTGATAAGTAAAATATGAGTAATCGTTTATGATTTACTAAAAAAAAAAAGATTTTTATTTTCGTTAAGGGGAAAAGGGACAGCTATTTTATTTTCGTAAAAGGTAAAAGGGATATTTAACAAGTGAATCAGAAGGTTCTGATTTACGCAAATCTGTTTTGCATTATGAGATTCGTCAAAACTGAACATCTGAATTTCAGATTGTAGACAATATAACAATCATATGAAGTGAAACGAAACGAGAAAACTTAAACCTGCTGTTTCACTGTCAATGGAAAAAAAATATTAACTGTCCGTTTAACAATCGTACGATTACGGCAATTTATACACTGAGAATGGGGCATAGATTAAAGAGAATTGCAGAAAAATGTCTCCTTGACAGAATGCTTGCAAAAATATGATGGGTAATTATAATACTGATATTACCTTGGAAATCAGCCTCAACTTCCTTTACTTATGTAGCAATATACCCTTATCTCCTGCATATCGGGTTTATATCTCCCAGTTGATTCTACACGCAAGGGCATATTCCAAGTACAAACAATTTATTAAAGGAGGCAAGCTTTTGACAAACAAGTTGATGAAACGAGAATATCAACAGTCTCGTTTAAAGTCATCATTTTGCAAGTTCTATGTTCGATACAATCACCTTGTCAGTAAATACAATTTATCATTAAGTCTAATGCTGACGGACGTTTTTCATACAAATTGTTAGGCCATTACACATTGAATTGTCTACGAATTTTTCAATTTTCCTGATCATAACAAAGAGCACATACGGGTGTGAACGGTCGGCAGGGGATGCTTATTTCTCCATGGCACATGATTCCACCTCTGGTGTTTTAGAGATCCGTGTTTGCTATACTCCCGATTTGTATTTTTATTGGAATTTGCGCTTGATTACTGTTCCTTATCTCCATATTTGATGTGTTATGAAGCTAGGTATAATATTGCTATAATGATTGAATGATTGTATGTTGTTTAAAGTCCCATTCGAGAATTTTTATTTTTCACTCATATAGAGACATCACAGTATGCAGGTAAAGTGCTTCAAATTTAGACCTATACTCGGCACTTAAGACCATTGAGCAGTAAGTTTTTTTTTTTTTTACTTTTTTGACTTTTACCTCTAATGGGAGGGGGCGCTTGGCGAGGGAACATCACGTTATGATAAGACGGATAAATCTGCATCTTTATAATGGTTTTATTCCAGGGAAGATGAATAAATTATAAGTTCATGATCAGAAATTGCATACAGAGTACTTGTAGATGATCATATTTCAACTCTATAAGCGTAGGTTTATAATGAAGAAATAAACTGTCTTGAAGTAAATCAATATTGTGTTTGCCTTCGCAATTTGACTGAAATGAATCTTTGATAAGTGAGAGACAGCAAAGAAGAAAGAGGTTTGGCCTTCTTCTGGGTTCTGCACAACACCAAGATGTGCAACTTAAAGCAAAATTAATTTTGAAGAAATAAAAACCAAAAATAAAAAATAATTCGTACCTATGAAACACTTCATCATTGCACTTTGTCTGAACTTATGTTTTATATAACACATTGATATTTAAGCAAATTATCACATAATCTAAATCTGTGTTTACTCTGCTAACTCTTGGTGACAAACTCTGACATGTGCTCATTTATTTATTGTTATGGTAATTTGAATTATATAAATATACATGTATATCCTACTTTGTAGTAGAAATACATGACAGAAAGTAATAAAAGTAATCAAAAATATTTTGTCTTATTCTTTCTTGTTTGGGACATAACTCGAAAGTATGTTGTTTAGTTTTCAGGCACAGTCAAACGTAGAGACAAATGGAAGTGCCTCATCATAGTTGTTGATTACGCGATGTTTGTCACCTACGTTTCCTTTAATGTGTTTTGAATCCAGTCTCTTCATCAATTATTCATGTAGCAGGATCAAAGTTATCATATTTCTCATAAAGGTAAATCGAATTTGAAATTAATCCTGAGCACTAGGTGGTTAAGTTACAATCACTCTCTATTACACGTTATCGTGATCTGCATAGACGAACGTCGCTACTGCAACTTTAAAGGGTATGATGATATTGTTGTATGTTAAGGATTCCTACTCAACATCAATTTTTATTGCAGTTACCAAAAGAAGTGCAAATTGCATTAGCTCGCCTCTGTAGAATATTTTTTCATTAGGGTTTCGATCGGTGTGTCGTGACATCGGTTTATTTACGTGTCTCTTGGGATGTGTCTTACTCTCTCAATTTTTCTTCCATAAAAACAAATGCAAATAATGGAAAAATTATACTGAAAGCAAATTTCAAGAAAACATGTTTATTTCCTTTAAAGAAACCTAAAGGATTTACCTGATTCATCTTAAGGTAATGTATTTAATATTTTGTAATACAATATCACTTTATTGGTTCATATAAAATCTTAATGTCATGCATTGAACATAAAAAAAAAACACAGTTTTCTTTCTGTAACAAGGAAATGTAAAAATAACGGCAATAATCATGCTCAAAAGTCCAATAAAGCAATATTAATTGTGAACAGAATAAAGATTGAACTCTGAAAACAGAGGTTAGATCAGGTGCCATGAAGGAGTGAACATCCACCTCAACCGATCGCTCCCGCCGTGTCTCTTTCTCATGATCGGGTAAATGGAAAAAAAATCTGTAGACAATTCGACGTGAAATTAATGGCTTAACAATTCGTTTGAAGGACTTCAGTTAGCATTCGACTTAACGATAGACTGTATTTGCAAACAAGGTCATTGCATCAATCATAGAAATTTTAAAAATGTTGAATTTAAACGAGATTTTTTATATCCTTGTATCACCAACTGATTTGTCAGTAGCATACCTCGCTTTAAAAATCGATTGTACATAGAACACGCTCTTGCACAGATAATTTACTGGAAGATATAAACCTCCATATGCAGGTGATAATTGTACATTGCTACATAAATAAGGGAAGCTGCAATGCGATAGAAAAGTTGAGGTTATCACGTTTACGGTACAGTTTAGATCTTACTTTTTAATCAGTGTAAAACACCCAAATATGAAACAGATGTGTCGGACTCTGTGGTGCTTTTCATTTTGAGTTCAATGAGATATGTCGTATCAACGTAGGAATGAAAATAAATATCATAAATTGATAAAACGTCTTTGATATATCTAAAAATTGAGTTGAAGGCCACAGCAACATACTTTTTTATGTGGAAGTGTTTCTGCTTCCTTAAAAATTGATTCCATAGTTTTTAATAAATTTCATTAGGTATAACAAAATTTATCAAGGTTAATGTATTTAGGGATATATTGCGTGATGCAGTAGGAGACAAAGTGAAACAATTGTTTCGCAAAATGAATCTTTTATCATGAGAGTTCTAAGCTACCACTTATCACAACAGTTTTCTCGGGTTGTAATATCTAATTTAACTTATTCTTTCAGTCCCCCCTCAGGGTTATATATATATATATATATATATATATATATATATATATATATATATATATATATATATATATATATATATATATATATATATATATATATATATATATATATATATATATACCCATTTTTCTTTCTTCTAGCACTAAAACTGATTAATCTGTCGAAAAGTAAATACATGTATTTAAGTCCAAAAAGTCCCCCCTTTAGAAATAAATCCATTTGTAGTACATTTGCCTCTGATCTGTCTTGATATTTTGAACAATATTTGTTCTTCTCCCTTACCTGCTTTGTGCTTGTTTGCAAACAAGAAAAAAATGAGTTTGCATATACATGTATGTTTTACATAAGCAATATCAAAATTACTTCAAACTACTGCCAATAAAATGCAGGACGATTTTCGTAATTGAGTTCTGTGATTATAATATCAAAAGCACTTGATTCAATTGTATGTTGCATGTAACAATATCCGATTTATTGTCTCTTTATTACAAAGGTTTATTTCAATCGATAGCGGTGGAATGTTATTCCTGTGATGACACCTTTACCCTGCTTAAAAACGTTGGTCCTGTGTCACATTAAGCTTTGGCACGATAAAGAATTAACCTTCACTACTCAATGGACCTGAGTTCCGAGTATCGGTTAAAATTTGAAGCCCTTCACCGGTATTTGGAGACGTCTCATATGAGTGAACAATCTTCCCAAAGGACGTAAAATAATAAACAATCAATCCTACAAACGTACTTGATGTTGCGAAGATTACTACTGCTATCTGTTTTCGTCCGTCGACGTCCATCGGACGTAAATGTTTGAACATTTTCAACTTCTATGGAACGGACGAAACCAATACAATTGTTTTTGACATATGACATCTATTGGGAAAGTAAATCCAAACAAAGGAAAAGTTATTAATTTCATAACCTATCAGCTTCCTTTTGGCCTGAGGGTTTTGGCTAAGACCATCAACATTATTGCAATCTTTAAAATCCCCTTTACCCCTGGCTATCAAGCAATCAAATGTAGGCATAATTTTCATAAGCAATAAACCCTTTAACAAATAAAAAAAAGTTATGTCCCTTGACCCCAAGACAATAAACTGAGAACAGTCAAAATTTGGATTTTAAATATATTGATTTTACGAATATGTTTAAAAAGTGGCAGGTTTGTATACTTATCCGGTACATGCATGTTGAAATTTTTTCTCTATTTTAAAAATGATTTCAAGTTATAATTATTTGAAATTTTGAAATTTATGGTCTTGGAGCCAGGTTGCAGTTTTCAGGTTCCAAGTTGGGATAAGTTGGTCACCTATAAAAAACGCATTATATCATAAAATCTCTTTTACTCATGGACATGTACGAGTCAAAACGCTTTGTATGACTATAACAAACACTTAGACTCACCAAAATTTTTCAAATCATCTACCCAAGTCTGATTGTTCCTGGCCCAGAGAATGGCTAAATTGATCACATATTGAAAGAAACATTTCACCTTTCAAAATCTACTTAATTTATGGACATTGTTAGGCAAACTGATAGCATGATTACAATACGTACTCAAATCTTTACCAAAATTGTACAATTGTAATTTTTAAAAATTTTCATTACTCATGTAAATCGATCAAGCAAATTGTTTGTATGATAATGATGAGCAAATTCACTTCTTAAGAAATCATGAATTCACGTTCCCGGGTCCGGGGATTAGGACCAAGGAAGGGCCAAATTGGTCTTAAAATGAAATTTATTATTTAGTGATTTTAATTATCTACAGAATTATGATATTAAATAAAGAGTCTTTGCAAATCTGTGAGTTCCAGTTCTATGAAGAGCTAAAGCAGACCTGAGATATTTGTGATACTCAGGTGACCGTTGGGGTCCAAGTTTAAATAGAATAAATTGAGAGGCAATTCTTATCTTTTATTTTTCGTGTATAAGAAGACTATCCCTTACTTTGGTGAGTTCAATTCGTGGTAACTTTTCCATTATCGAAAATCAAACTGAAAAGTTTTCAAATACGTCGTATTTAAGTCTTTTAAAGATTTTGCATTTTCACAGTTAATCAGTTGGAAATAAGTAAAAAAAATATTCTCCTTTTTTCTTGCAGGTTTACTTTCATTGTATACAAATCCTTTGAAGAATTATTCTACGGAACCGAGGCAATCTTACTGAAATTAAATGTTCCTTTATTACAATTCATTTCTTTTCAATTCATTTTATAGTGTTTTATCAAATTTTGGATGTATTTCCTTTATATAATGACTTGATCATGAGTTATCAAAAAATCTAGAATTTAAAGCACTATTACAAAACTTTAATGTGGTTTCTATAAAATGAATATAAATATTACATAGAGAAACGTTCTATCACATACAGTAATACTATGGGTTGATATTCCATGAATGAAAATGCTTAAAAAAGGCAAACCAATATTGAGATATTTTCCCTTCCCTTGGTTTGTTTTACAGAAAAAAATGTAAAGATAATATCTAAGTTATGGTTAAGTGATCCTCTGTACTGTCAAAGAGCAAATCTAGCTTTTGTCCACGAAAAGATCATTGATAATTTTATCACAAAAACTAAAACATTTTGTTATTACATTAAATCCATTATCTTTATTTTAAATGGAAATAAATCGACCAGAAGATAACCTCTTATTTTTGAGTTCTAATATCATTCATCTCATGACGTGTTAACTCGATATACAAAGAAAACAGAGGGATATATATGTTAAGATAATATTGATGCTAATCAAGTGAAAGTTTTTAGTCCCTCCAACACCTTCCGATTAATTACCATCATCGATTGTGCACATTTCTATTTACAACCTCAATGTTTTTTTTCTCTAACGTCCTATGAACGGTAATGTTAAAAAACAACATTGAACACCGGTTACCAATTTTGACTGCGAAATAATCATAAGGAGTGTCATATTGGGTGACGTAATCACTTTACACCCCCACACTGGTATACTGATACTTTATGAAGATGCTATCAAAGTATTGATATTAGAGGGATTCTCTTATATTCCAGTTCATATTCATTTTGTGACCTGCCTTACAATTGGTATGTAATTTTTAAGGTAGTTTAACACATTATCTTCAGGCTTGACTGAAAATATATATTACTTTTAAGAAATAAAATCATACAGGAAAGATGTTTGTTTAAAAAATACAAATGACCGCTGTGTGGAAAAAATGTACATTTTGATAAATTGCCTTTTTTTCTTTCTTACAAGGATATTTCTATTGGCAAATATTGGTACGAAGTTAGTTGTGATGTCATCTAGCATACATGTAGCTCAATGTACTAAAAGACAGTAGAATACCATACTTTTTCTTCTCAAAATGTCAGAATAGAATTGAAAATATAAATTAATATGCAATAACTTGAAAGATGTATGCCAGAAGTGCATTAGCTCTTAATAAGGACAATACGATATTTAAAATCAGTATCGCACACTACTCATTGCAAAGATTTAGAAGCATATTAGGTTAGATTGCACCTGATCCCACCTCTGATGTTTAGAGGTCCGTGTTTGCTCTGCTCCTATTTTGTATTGTTTAATGGACTTTTGAGCTTGAATACTGTTCGTTATCTCCATATATTTCATTTAAACGAAATTGAGTATCTTAAAAATATTTATTAATTTCCAATAACCATAACCATATAACTATAAGAAAGTTCAATGAGAACTAAAATCTACAATTTTTGCTTCAAAATGTGGTACAGATAGAGAGGGACTCAACAAGCTTTTCTTCAAAAGCAAACTAATTTTTTTAGGGCCTTTTAGCAACTCAGCTTTCTTAATATTATTTTTTCATCAAATAAAATAAAGGAAATATCAAATAACATTTTTCCAATTTCTTGATATGTTATAAGAATTTTATTTACAATTGAACTTCTAATCATCAAATGTGAAAATACTATACAGCAACACTTTCAATTAGCAGATATTATAAAATTAAGATATATGGATATGAATACATAGGTAGTTTTGTCACGTATCAGATGTTTAATGAGTGTTTCTCCTTTGTCGCTTTGTTTGCTGCCAATTCATCATGGGTACATTTGTATTAAAAGGCTACTTCAGCTTCTCTGAATAGCATTGCATTAGTTTCACATGAGGGACAAAGGATGTTTCTGCCAAGCATTAAATGGGTCTGTAGTCTATTGAAAAGTATCATCTTATCTTTGTATTACACAGAGCACATCCTGGTGTTTCTAAACATCTAGGTTTAAAACTGGAGTAATAATCGAGTTGGCATCGTAAACTGCCACAGGCCTAAGGTTCGGTTGTTAAAGGGTAATTGATTTATTTCCCTAGTGTATTTCGCAACCCATATGATGCGTTTTTAAAATTAATTTATTGCTTTGGCAAACTCAAATGACAGTTTTTACAAAGAAATTTCTTATTCCCTTTGAAATATTCAAACGGACGCATCCAAACATACCCCCGTAAGTGTTCATTAATTTGATAGCATGTATATAAATGATTTGATGCTAGTGATACTGGAATGTATAACGAGTCCAAGGTCACATACAGTTGAATCCTATTTACTCCAATCTGCAACTTTATTATTCGATACATGACATGAGAAATCAAGCTTGTATATTTTGTAATGAATGTCACATATTAATCGACACAAAGCTGTAAATTGATCAATTATTCATTGCTTTTACTTTCTGTCTTTACAAATTACTCTTTCATTTCAGATTCGTCATGAACTACAACATGCTAGGCAGTCTGCAATTTGTCCTCGCCTTATCTGTCCTAACGGTGCTTATACATTGGACAAGTGCAATATTTTCAGGTGAGCTAGCGCGAAAATAATTTCTGCATTAGATAAATCTATCGTTATAAAGTATTCACGGTGCAAGATTATGAACGATATGAATAATTATACATAGTGAGGTGATTATAACATTAAAAATAAACGTAATGTACATGTGTTTCAGATTGAATTCTCAATCTTTTCTTTATGATTTCAAACATGCTTTGACATCCACTCATTCAGGATAAACTACTAAGTGCAAATTACTCATTTTTTCAAATTACGAGAGCTATTGTTTAAATGGGGTTATTTCTTTATAGATGAGTTTCCACCTTATCGTTCACCGTCATCGGAAATTGTTACAAAAAACGAGATGTTGCCTACAAATAAGCGGTATTTATGCATATTTATCTCTCATTTTTACAAAAACAGCGTGTATTATTAGTCACATAGTCATTTAGTGACCGGGTACGGGATGATACCTGGTTAGTATATTTCATACCTGGCAAGGCGAAGCCGATACCTGGTTAGTATATTTCATACCTGGCGAGGCGAAGCCGAGCCAGGTATGAAATATACTAACCAGGTATCATCCCGTACCCGGTCACTAAATGACTATGTAACGAATTTACCCCACCGATGACTAAATAGCTTTGCTTTATAAAGTTTAAGTTGCTGTCATGCAAGCTAACAACCTGGGTATATCAATGTCTATATAACTCAGATTTAAGTTTATAATTTTATTGAACATTTAACAATAACAAATAAACATTTGTATATTAAATAACAACAGTAAAAATAATGCATTCGATAATTTCTGATTATAAATATTAACAATTCAAAAGTAGAAGTCTCAACAATTTGTCAGATACATGTATAACAGAGTACATAGTATGTATATGAGTATAACAAATTATCACTTTAAATCAGAGACAAAATATATTAATTCTAAACACATTAAAAAAAATAATTTTACAACAAATTGACATTTATAACAAAAAGAAAATGTAATTTATAACAAGACTTCAACTAACATATTTCAACACATTTAAAGTGAAAAATACAAACATTTTAAAAGTTAAAATTATTGATAATTGACCACAAAATAACAGAATTTAATGTAGATATACTGATGACACACACAGATGATTTTCAATTGGACATGAATGCAAGATTAAGTTATTTTGTGAAATTTACATTGATGTTTATGGAGCCAATGGTGCATCCATGGAATGCCGGGAGAATTTGTCTGGTGTGTACAGAGGAGGATATCCTACTTTCGGATACTGTGGCAAGTGTGGTTGGGGTCGTGAATTCACTGAAAAGGTCAGATATGTTAATTCCTTGTAATTCAGCTATGGTAGAACTGTTCTCCTGCGGAAATGGTATCATACTGAGAGTATTCCCAGTTTCCTGAAAGGATGGTAATGCCAGCTTTGAGGTACTAGAAGGCAAAGCTAGGTTGTTTTTAACTGGATTATTTGTAAGGTTTTGGCCCATTGCTTGTCCCATTGCAATCTTCTCATCCATATCTGTCCTTTGATACACTGTAAGTGACTGTACTGACTTGTGTCCTGTAACTGCCATAATCTGTGATGGACTAAACATACATTTGGTGAGAATTGTGGCTCCTGTTGCCCGTATGGAATGATTGGTGTAAATCTGGGACAGACCAACACTTTCACTCAGTTTAGACATGAATTTTGCTAATGTTTTTTCACCAAGTCGTGAATTACAGTACCAAGAGTTGTCCTCATCAAGGAATGCTTCTTTTGGTCTCTGCCATAAACTTTCACACTGAGGATGTAGTTTCTTCAGATATTTTTCAAACGATTTCACAGGACAAAAAGGAGATCCAGGATATTCAGGCATGACACCAGATGTTGACTCCCTGTCGTTAGCTCTGTGGATTTTTGTTAATTCATCACTAGATTTAGCTACATATTTAAGGCCTGATTTGGGATCCTCCTTCACCTGGAATGTTGACTTGGACATTGAATGCATGTTTTCCACGGAACGTCGACAAAAATACAATCTTATATCAAACTGTACTTTATTTTGTAAACCACAAGGCGTATCAGGACTCATGTGTGTAGAATCATACAACTTCTGTCGATCGCTTTCATTAATAACAGAGTGATGTTCCACATTACCTTTACCGATCCTTTTCAGCTCAGCAAGCGCAGCCTTAAACGAGACATTAGCATCCCGAAATTCATCATCCTTTATAATGTCAATTTTTCTGTTAAAGGGGGGGGGGGCTTTGTAAGTACCTGTTTAAGGCATGTCTCATATTCTCAAAGGACGTTGCCTTGTAATGTTCCCCGTCTTGTTTTCGAGCACTGAGGTAGAAATGAATTAAAACTTCATTAAGACGAACTACATCAAACTGTTCAAAATTTTCATCTTGCCTCTTTTCTTTCAAATAAGCTCTCAACACCCGTGCCGCCTTCGCGTTACTTTTAATTGTTTCTCTCGAATTGATAAGTTGCTTTTTTTTCTCTAGTTCGTCTGCGTCCAAGAGCGCAAACTTCGTCGCCATGTTTGTTTATCGAAGAACAATAACTCGTGCTACGGTGTATTGATTTACTAATGACAGGGTATAAGTATTACCTCCCTTTCACGTGACAGACTTCAACCAATCTGAAGCCAGGATTTCATCGAAAAATCAACAGAGGTGGGGTAAATGGTTATATTAACGTTGATATCCTGTATTGGAAAATGAAATTCAATATAAATCTTTTTTTAAATTAGATATGCCATGCTGTCGTATAATTTTGGAAATAACAGACGATATTCACCAAGTTATTCGCAACGAAGAAATACCTACTTCCCTAAAAGAAGAAGGTTTGTATATACATATTTATTACATATTTGGTAATAAGAAGGCCAACAGGTTCTTTGCGTATGCAATATGCTTGAAGTCACAATAGCCGTATCAGCTTCTAGGGATTATACGGATCCTACAGGGCTGATATGGATATTTATTATATACCCAACTGTGTATCACTCAGTTTTAGTTTTTTGAATCCATATCACTCCTCTGTGAAACTGATGACGTAGTACACAGTATGCATGACTTTTTTCTTGTGTATCAAATAGTTTCTTTTAAAATTGTTTTGTTTTATGGATAAAAATTGTATAATTGATCCCAAAAGTTTATTTTTACAACATTTTGCTTATTGTAGAGGGGTATATAATAAGTTTCTCATTTTAACAGTAACCTGATCCGAAAAGCCGTATCACGTCTCGTTGACAGGCGCGGATCATCAGATCAAACGAAACGCGAAGCGTTACTGTTTTAATTGTATATATTTATAAATCACATCCCATATAGATTAAAATTGTAAAAAGTACCTTTGATAATACATTAATTTTTTCGTTCAGATTCTCTGTAATAAAAATTGTATCTAATTTTAACTAACAGATATTTGATATAAGCTTGAATGTTATCATTAATTTGTACAATATGCTCATTCTTATTAAAAAGTACATATGTGATGTATATTATAAGAAAGTTCGTAATATACCCCTTACCATATCCCATCCTGTATCAGACCGCGACACCAATATCACCAGGACCGAAAATACGAGGGCTGTTATTGGTCTCTCGAGCTGATACAGGATGTGATATGGAAAAGGATATGTATTTTTCTCTATATATCAAATATAATTTAGACCAAGACCACATACAGTATTATGTTGACGGTGCGACCGTTAGAGCGAGCGCAGATATCTAAATTCAGTTTTAATTTAGATCGGGCTCTTCAACTGCACGTGACATTTGGTACGTCTAGACTCTGACGTCACATGACGTCGCTTGTTAGTTGCAATATAACAAAACTAAGTCTGAATTAATATTGATAATTTTAATAAAACGGGTTTTTAAAATCTACTATTTATTTGTTATATATATCCAACAAATTAAGGTGAGTATATATTTTTCTTGGAACTTCTTGTTAACGCGAGAACGTTGTTTGCGGCGAGATGCAATTCGCAAAGCATTAAAGGACCACAAGTTACTGCGGGAAAAAATTCGTTTGGATCAATATGCAAAGTTCGAATTTTCTCTTCGCCCAGGTGTTGCTTTAAGAGCTCGCAGTGACGAGCGGCGCTCGCTCGCAGCGCTAACTATAATGTTTATCTTTTTAACCAGATTCTATCAAATATTATAGGTTTAATTCCTATTGGCGACCATGGGAAAGTCTTCCAAACATCAACTGCTATCGTCAGAGGTGCTCTACATCCTCGGACTGTTGTCGACGTCATAATATTTGCGATCCCTACGTAAAAGTGTGTCATGATTGTTGGCATGGTTATAAATGTCAAACGTCTAATGACTGTTGTAGTCGATATCCATACTGTCACCCCCATAAAAAAGAATGTTATAAGTGATGAATACCGGCTTCCCTCTGTCCACCGCTGCGACGTATCGATAATCATCAGAATTATGATCAATTTATTTTTTTGTGCTGCTATCATTTTCATAATAAAGCTTTAAATGGCAACATCAATTGCGTTCAGTTATCATAAAAGAATTAATGGATTGGTGGTTTCTACATTGCATACTTTGATAAATTAACAGCAGCATACAAAATAATGTGAATAATGCACATTTTGTTTGAAATATTCCCCAAAATATTATTGTAAGAAAGATAATGATATACATTACCCTAAGAGATTTTCTGTACAATTATACTGTAAAGCTATCCCTTAGAATTGTTTTACTTCAATATTGTTACAACAAGCAGAGAAATAGTCGAGGGCTCCTCCTTGGAGCAAAACCTAGTATATGACATAAAGAAACATTAGAGGCATTACTAACCATATATGTATTTTAATCTTTGGTAAACATGTTTTACCAAATTTTGCTTTTGTAAAGAATGCTAAAATTGTATGAATTATTGAAGTAATGAAATATAAAGTTAACGACCAGTAATCAAACTCAAAAGTCCATTGAAACAATACAAATTGTGAGCAGAACGAACACGGACCTCTAAAAAACATCAGAGCTGGTATCAGCTGCCATGGAGGATTTAGCATATCGCCTCATTGCTACCAATTTCAAAGTGATCATCTCTTTCGATCGACTAATCGAAGCCGAGTCATCCAACAAAGGAAAAAAAATAAGACAGTGGAAAAGCATACATGTACTAAAGTGTTCCAAGTAATGCATGTGAAGCCTGCTTTATAGCATCATTAAAGATGTTATGAAATACCAAAGTATTTATTTGAAACTAGCTTCATATACCTGCAAAGATTAAAACATCCACGAATAGGAAAACTGCAATTGAATCTGACAATCAAATAGAAAATTTATACGATTCCCAAACCCTAAAATGAATAATGAATGCAAAAATGAAATTGTTAGAAATAATTATTTATCACTGTACTAATATATAAAATATGGAGATCACGAACAGAAAGTCCATTCAAATAATACAAATCAGGAGCAGAGCAAACACGGACCTTTAAAACCTCAAAAGTTGGATCAGGTTCCATGGAGGAGTAAGCATCCCCTACCGACCGGTCACATCCGCCGTGTGCTCCATGTCATGAATGGGAAAAAGGGAAAAATCCTTAGACAATTCAGTGTATAAATAATGGCCTGACAATTCGTCTGAAAAAAATCAGCATTAGACATAATGGTAGATTGTATTTGCTGACAAGGTCATTGTACCGACCATAGAACTTGCAAAACGATGACTTTAAACGAAACTGTTAATATACTTCTTTCATCAACTTGTTTGTCAATAGCTTGCCTTGTTTTAGAAATTGTTAGCACGTAGAGCATGCTCTTGCGTACCGAATTAACTGAGAGACAAAAAACCCCCATATGCAGGTGATAAGGGTATATTATTACATAAATAAAGGAAGATGACGATTGAAAAGTTGAAGTCGTCACGTTTATCATTAAGCTTGGTTGTTCGGTTACCATTAACATCTTTTACTAGTTAAATATCCAGATATGAAACAGATGTGTCAAGCTCTGTGGTATCCTTTATTTTGGGCTCACTGGGATATATCGAGTCGACATATGAATGGATGTAAGTATTGTTAATTGATAATACGACGTCGATATATATATATATATATCTAAATATCGAGTTGAAGGCCACAACAACTGTTTTCTTCTTTTCGTGTATAAGATTTTGAATAAATCATATGAATACAAAAATAGGCCTGCTAATAACCGGGTGCAATTGGTACCCATGGGAATTTCGACAGATTGTCGGAAGACCTAGTCTCCAAAAACTAGATAGATACAGAAACTAAAACATCTTTTTAAGTCAATTTCAGAGTACTTATGTGTACAATCAGAATGATTTTCTAACAAAGTGATGTTGCAAATGACCAATGACAAGGTACATGTAAGTGAATTTACGAGTTCCATCTATTGAAAAAGTAGTTGACAATAATGTCAGAGAGCCTGGATTTTAATCTATGAATGGTTTTATAAAATGTTGAAAAGTCGTACGTTATGATGTTGTTGATTCAGGTAAAATTTTGTGATTTCAAATTTTCTAAAACTTCTTTTTTTAAAGTATCCACATCTAAATTACATCACGTCTCGAATATACTGTTGTACTGTACGTACTTCTGAAGTATTTCCTTCACTGCCGTTAATATTTTAGTGAGGAGTAAACAAAGAACCTTGGTAGAACATTTACTGGAACCCGCTATGTATCTTTGTTTGTAAGGATTTTTATGAATTTTAGGTATCCAGTATAGGTGTGGTATATTCTAAATCAAATTCATTTTGATTGATAGGAATATTAAAAATATTTAAAACTGACAAATGATTTTGAAGAGTTGTCTCCATAGAAATGGAACTATAGTTACATGTATAAGTTGGATTACCACCTGCCGAGTTAAATCCCAGTTCCTCTAAAACAATTAAAATAATGAGCCTTAAAAACAAAGAAATGCTGTTACCTGCTTTGTCAGCTTGGACCAGTACTGATCGTGTAATCTATCTTACTAATTCTTTTTTCACTTCTGAGTTATTGAACACAGAAGGATAGAGGATTTTCATATTGCCCCTCACAACTTAGCTTTGTGAGTGTTGAAGTTATCAATTGAAACTTAAATATTGGACATATATATCTGTTTGCTTAAGAACATCACTCGACCAGATTTTGGTATATCAATTTTTCACCCCATTCATTTATTCACTGTTCATCGAGGAAAGTTGTTTCAGAAACTCAGTAACTCTGATCTTCTAACTTTCTGTCAGACCACCCATTCCTTTCATAAGAGTTAAGATATTTTCCTGATGATCCATAGCATCCTTGGCTTACAGCTCCAAGATTCTATCATCTTAATGTATTCCAATGACACTACAATTATTGACATTTTAGAAGAAAGACATACAAATTATCTGGATTGATTGTTGCTATATTTCAAACGCGCTGACCTGACAATTGGTGATGTCCCCTTTGAAAAGTCATGATTGATTTATTATTCTTAAGATCTAGTCGGATTGGAATTTATAAATGTTATCAGTTCCGTGGTTTTTCGTTTTTATCCGTTCCGTGATTTCTCGTTTAGTCTGTTAAAAATGATCGGATTGCTTGCTTTATATGAAGCAAGACGTCACTTCTAGTGTCATAATCTGAAATAATATGATTGTACACCGTCATCATCTCTAACGAAGTTTCAGCAGAAGATATCATTTAACTAATATCGAGCTATATAATTATGCATTTTGGTTTACATTTTCTCCAAAGAGTATGTCTTATAAACTTGTGCTGCATTTATTATTGTGTTTAATTCATAGTGTATATTTTAAAATCTTACAGAAAATTATCATCAAACCAATGATTACTTTTATCAATTAATTTTTGTTTGAATATCTCAACAATATTTCCTTCAAAAGAACAAAAGAAGAATGTTTGTTGCAGTCAAGGGCGTCGTAGAATCCAATACACATTAAGGGTTACTTCATATAATAAACTTATATAGAAGTAAGAAAGAGTTTAAACTGGAGATTGCTTACACGACATTTATCAAACTACTTAATAATAATAAAAATCCGAATAGAAATGATATTCAAAATGATATAGTGTACTTGAGGCACACCACAAAATTTAATTATATGGACAATTATAGTGCACAAATCTTGTTGATGTACACATTAAGTTGTGTATTTGACAGTTGATAACATTGAAAGAATAATATAATTAAATACTAGACCATTTTAATGAGCCACCTTTATGGAATCTGTACCTTTAACGTGGTAGATAGTGCAGTAATGTCTACTATTGTAATTTAAAAATGTTCATAAATCAAAGATACCACCGTCTGACAAATATGTTTCATATTTGGATATTTTACTAGAAAAAGACGTTAATGGTAATCTAACAACAACAAAGCTTTATGATAAACGTGACGACTTTAACTTTTCAATCGATATCTTCCCTTACTTATGCAGCAATATACACTTATCACCTGCATATGGGGTGTATATCTCTCAGTTGATTCGATACACAAGAGCATGCTCTACGTATGAACAATTTCTAAAACTAGGTAAGTTATTGACAAACAAGTTGATTAAACAAAAATATCAACACTTTCGTTAAAGTAATCATTTTGTAAGTTCTATGGTCGATAAGACCGCGGAACATTAACTGGCAAAATTGGAAATATGCAGCTTACGTCATTTCCATCTGTTACAATCAAAACATTAATGATAGACAATGGAAAGGGCGGGTACAATTTTGCACGGACATCCGAGAAAACATTAGATTGAAATTCTAGTTTGAAATTCATTTTCAATCCACCTAAGCTACGCTAGAATCACTGTGTTACTGATTGACCCAAAAGACAAATAATTTCAATTTCGGAATAGTTTGAAATTTAATATATAAATCAGAATTTCTGTCCAGTGTTTTAAAAGAAATATAAAGGGACAAATGGTTGATTTCTGTTAGGTATGTGCATGCGTGTGTTGGGGGGGGGGGCTGAACATTCTTGGAAATAAAAAAGAGTTTTCTTTACTTTGGACAACCCCTCCCTGTTTTTGATTTTCAAACATTTTTCAGTGAAAAAAAAAACGAAAGAAAATAGCTCTTGTCATCCTAGAAATAAATATATTTTGTCATGTGAAGGCATGATCTACTCGACAATTTTTTACCCCTCCCCCTTCTAGAATCAAATGGCGTCCCCAGAAAACTTAATCTCTGTCTTCTGTTACTTTTACGTGTCCTTAAAATTATAGGCTAAAAAACTCATACAAATATGAATTTCAAACAACATGTATTTTGGAATTGAAATTATTTGTCTTTTGGATCATACATTCACACTTTGCTTATAAAAACAGCTCAAATGGATTGAAAATGAATTCAATCCAATGTTTTTACGGATTTCCGTTTCGAATTGTACCCGCTCATCTCATTGTCTATCATTAAATGTTTTGACTGTAACAGATGGAAAAGACGTAAGCTGCATATTTCCAATTTTGTCAGTTGATGTTCCGTGGTCTTACAATGACCTTGGCACCAAATACAGTCTA